TTGTTTTTAAAGGGGTCATATGATGCGATTTTAATTTTTCCTTTCTCTTTGGAGTGTTACAAGCTCTTGGTGCATAAAGAAGATCTGTAAAGTTGCAAAGACTAAAGTCTCAAATCCAAAGAGATATTCTTTATAAAAGTTAAGAGTTAGCCACACCTACCTAAAACGGCTCGTTCTAACACGCCCCCACATATCTACCTCACTATGTGGGAAGATTTGCATAACGCCGCCCAAATGTTCACGCAAAGAAAGAAGGCGTAACTTTTATTTTCGCTGTAGTATTGTTGTTGCCGCCGGCGCCATGTCGTGAAGGCGCTGTGTGTTTGTGTTCTGTGTGTTTCGTTGTGAAAGCGAAGCTACTTTGTTTGGTCTTCCAAAAGAGGACGATATCCGCTGATTCGCTGAGGGAATACATCAACTTTCACCGTGGACGAAGTGGAGTCCAGCCCGGGGTCGTCACATGTGGTTGCCGCTCCTTCGTGGAATTCGCCGGGCGCGCCGTTCTCGACCCCGCCGCCTCAGCTCACTCTTGCCCGGCTTCAGCTCAGGCTAAGCCGGGGCTTTCGCTCACGCTAGGCCGCTGTGTTTTTCGTTGTGAAAGCGAAACTACTTTGTTTGGTCTTCCAAAAGAGGACACGACTAGAAATCAGTGGTTAAGTTGTATTTACAACACTGTTCCAGAACAGTTTAACCCAAATATCCAGATGTGTGCAGCACATTTTATGGAGGACTGTTTACTGATCCTGGGAGAGTTACGTTAGACTAAAATGCCGGCAGTTCTGACTCACGTAAGTACGTTTTCATTTAAAGGATTTGCCACTGATGATTCAAACGCGAGTTTTGGGCAGTGTGGATTAACGTTAGCACTTGTTGTTTGTCATTTCTCTGATCACAAGTGCAGACATGGTTTTATGTTTACGCAGCGCAATGCAAGGCAATGCGTAAAAAGACAGTATAAGTCATTATAATCCGTATTTATGTCCCCACTGGATGCAACAAATGCCTTGTTTGTAATGGGTTTTAATGTTTATGCCTCGTCGCTCCGGCTGGACACGGCATCAGCAGTATGTGAGGGGCGTAACATTTCCGTCTCATGCTTGAGGTATTCGGCCAATCACAACGCATTGGATATCTGGCCAATCAGAGCACACCTCGCTTTTCAGACCGATTAGTTTTGTAAAAATCGACGCGTTTCAAAAAGGCGGGGCATAGAGGAGAAACAATAATGTACAGTATGTGGAAAATAATGTGTTTTTTTTACTTTAAACCGCATAAACACATTTCATTACACCAAATACACAAAATAATGTTCTTTTTAGCAGCATCATATGACCCCTTTAAGCATTTTTAGGACAAATTGGGTTATGCACTTTCAAAAATTAACCATGGTTTTACTACACTAACCATAGTTTAACCATGTTTGTAGTAAAACTGTGGTTATACAAATGGTAATCAATACACCAAAACCATGGTTACTACACTTGTAGTAACACCATGGTTGATTTTTGCTCACTTTGTCTTCTGCTATTATTCAGATGCGCTTGTATCAAACTACTGTATATCGATATAGGCGGTATTGCCTCATACCATATCGCCGATTAAAAATAAATCGATATATCGTACAAACTCGATATACCGCCCTTTATGCAGAGATGGGCATAAATACATGAAAATATATTTAAAATACAAATACAAAATACTGTGTGGAAAAATGAACTTAAATGCAAATTACATTAGATTTTTTTTTTCAAAAGTCTTTAAAATACAAAAAAGTATTTTGTATTTCAAATGCGTATTTTAAATACATGTATCTGAAATACTGCCCATCCCTGCCTTTATGCATTTATGCACACGCCTCAAAAACAGAGCTGGTATTTGACACCCTAAAATACAGTGATTAAATGTGTATATATATATATTTGAATGGGATGAAAGATGAAGAATGTACTGTACGTTAGCTTGCTTATTGTTCCCAAGAGAATCATTTAAGTCCACGTCTTACTAACAAGTAACTATGCTTCTAACCACAGGTCCAGAGCTGTAGTTCCTACCACGTAAGTTTGCGAATGTTTGTTGAACTGTGGTTTCAGGAATCACCGAATCAGAAAACTATGTTGGTAACGATGGAACTTGCAGCCATAGTTGGCTAACGATGCCTTTGGGAAACGCACCCTCATTTCATAATTGATTAACTTTACAGTTATCAAACTGAATTAAATCAATACTGAACTGGCCTCAGCTGAATAATAACACTATTGTCTTTTTGAGCTGCTTTACAACAGAATTGAATCACTATTTTCTTATCACTCTGAAGCTGCTTTGAAAACTGTATTGTGCTATAGAAATACAAGTGACTTGATTTGCTAAGTTCCTTACACTTAATGACTAACTTGCATGTATTAGTGAATTAATTTACAACAACTACAAATCATCTTACAGTTGATACGAAGAGTCTCCATGCTGTGATTCCTCCTCATTTGTTTCATGATACATTTTCCTCCATCATCATTCCTTCAATCTTCTGCAGTAGTTCTTGTATCCGATCATCTGATTTTCTCCTGTTATTGAAACAGTGAAACTTTCCTCCACATGATCTTTGTGTTTCAGATATTCATCAATGGTCTGATCCAGATCCTCCTGTTCATCTTCATGTGTGAACAGAATCATGATGTATTTCTGAACCTCAGCACCAAATAAACACTTCATATAATCCAGGATCTCTTCCTCATTTTGCACAGGTTTCTCTAGAGCAGGGGTGCCCAACCCTGCTCCTGGCGATCGACTGTCCTGCAAAGTTCAGCTCCAACCCTAATCAAACACACCTGAAGCAACTAATTAGGGTCTTCAGGATCACTTAAAAATGAAAGGCAGGTGTCTTTGATTAGAGTTGGAGCTAAACTTTGCAGGACAGTCGATCGCCAGGAGCAGGGTTGGGCACAATGGTCTGATCCAGATCCTCCTGTTCATCTTCATGTGTGAACAGAATCATGATGTATTTCTGAACCTCAGCACCAAATAAACACTTCATATAATCCAGGATCTCTTCCTCATTTTGCACAGGTTTCTCTAGAGCAGGGGTGCCCAACCCTGCTCCTGGCGATCGACTGTCCTGCAAAGTTCAGCTCCAACCCTAATCAAACACACCTGAAGCAACTAATTAGGGTCTTCAGGATCACTTAAAAATGAAAGGCAGGTGTCTTTGATTAGAGTACTAGAGGAACGGTGAGCAGAACTGAACAGAGACCTGCTGAACATCCAGAGACCAGCTGCTCTTTCATCATCTCCACCTGCTCTTTATTCAGATCTGGATCCAGTAGATCTGGACAATTAATCACATCAACCTGCTTCCCACCGATCTGTGTTTGACCCTCACACACTTCAGACTCATGCTTCTTCCTAAGTTTTTGGACTTTAAACCTCTTTTCTCCCAGTATAGCGTTCCCAGATGAGCTTTTCCCAGAACCGTTTCTGCCCATCAGAAGAATCCGGATCACTGGCTCATCGGGACTGGAGCTGAGCGCTGACATAAATGAAATGAAAATATGGAATAAGATCAGAATCAGGTCAGGTCAAGTTATAATCTTTTTCAATGCAGTGTAATGAAAGAACAAAATATACAATCTACACTCTAAAAATGTGTTGTTGTTGTTTTTCCAAATGCTAGATTTAGTCCGTTAGGCCGTTTTGCTGGGTTATTTTTTATTTTGTTTTATATTGGGTAGTTTTTGTATAACTGAGCTGCTAGGTTAATTTTACTTGACAAATCAATTGATGCATACACTTTCCCAGTTCTGGGAATAAACTACTAGCATGGCGGATATGCGCGACCGACGGTTAAGTAGAGAGGTTTAGATAAAGGGGTTTGAGTTACTAATAATAAACATTTAACCTGGTAAAAAATTATTTAATGTTATTTGTGTTAGGATATTTCAACTACAACAGCAATGTAAAGTTTTATAAGCATCCGTTTGGTCGTTAGCTTTTAAATGCATAATTATGCAGAAAATATGAGCACCAAAAGAGTACATACTTTAAGGGCGTAGTATAAGTAGGCACATTGGAATGCAGCATTTGTTTTTTGGTTGTGGACTTCAATTTCCATCACTCTTTGCCTGGGATATTATGTTTAATTGCTTTCAGCTGTGTGTAATTTACCTAGTTAAACCCTCTGGTTGCTGCAGTATTGCTTTTGTTATTCTGTTTTGTCTTGTCTATTATGTGGATTACCTTGTGCCAGTGCTTTCTGCCTTTTGCCTTGGTATGGATTATTGTTTTGGGAATTCCCAATAAAGCTGCAATTGTATTTTCTTCTAGTTTTCAGAGTGTTCTGTGACAGAGGTGCCGTAATGGGGAGAAGGTTGGTCGATTCCAAGGGCCCTGATTCCAATTAGCTTTGCAAAGATGAGAATGAATCCCCTATGTCTAGTAAACCTTTAAAGTTTGAAACTGCTTCATAAATTAGTGTTTTCAGATAGCAGTATTGCTATTTCTGTGTTGCAAACATCAAATAATAACGAAACTGATGTTATGCATCAACTAAAGATTGTATAGATTTGTTTAGATTGTAGTAGGTGGTGACCAGTGACTCTTAAAATTTATTTGAGATTTGTTCAAAAACTCAAGAAACAAGTCTTCATTAATTTCAAACATACATAATGAGTTCATTACCGAACGGTGCTTTCACACTGAATGCTAAATGACTGATCGTCTTCGGCAAATTCATGCCTGCACGATGGGTGGTGCTGACTGAGAATCCATTAAAAAAGTAAATAAGATAAATAAAGTTTGGGGTATTACACCAGAAACACAAACTATCTATAATGCTTACAACTTTAAAAAGACAATAAACTTACAATCAATTCCCATTTTCTCAGCAATTCCTTGCCACAGAACTTCTTTTGTGTCTATATTTTTGTAATTTCTGTGACTTTAATCAAAAAAGTTCTCTATTCTCAGCAGTGGCAGTTCTAGTAACTGGGGGGGCCAGGCAGGGGCCACTTCTGCTTTTAGGGGGAACACTTTCAGGGGCGGATCTAAAAAAAATGTTTTTGGGTGACATGGGGTCTATGAGGAATGGCAACATCAAAGCAAGCAGCCATACATCATTTTTGGGGATTTATGGCTTGGCATACACAATTGTGTTCACAAATATTGTATTCAACAACGCCGTTTGCACTGCGCTCTTCCGTTACTTGATTTTTATTTTGAGGTGGATGCTGCACACTGCTGGTGGTTGAGGAGAGACCCCATGATATGATTGTAAAGCGCTTTGGGTGAACAACAATACACAAAGCGCTATATAAATGCCTCATTCATTCATTCATAGACTACTTGGATGGTCTAAATCATGTTTTAGTGCAAGTTTAAGAGCAATAAAAACTTTAGATTTTCCTAACATTAGAAAGAAATACAATAATATCAAAGCACTGAAAGAAACTGAGTTTTGAAAACAATCTGATTGACTGATTTTCTGTTATTAACAGAGGTGCGATTGTCTGTAATTACCCAGAACCCACTATCAACCATATACTCTAGCAACACCCCAGCAACTGCATAGCAAGAGCCTAGCAACCACCCAGAATATCCTAGCAACCAACTACTTTAGCAAACACCTAGAACATCTAACTAACCTGGAACATTAAACTATTTATGTGACTTTAAGACAAGCCAGCATAAATTTGTCTTTCAAACTTTTCAATCTAGGTTTTTTTTCTTAAATGCTTACACACAATTTGGGGGGCAAACTTGATGACACAGGGGCACTGGCCCCCCGGCCCCCAAACAAACAAAGACTCAGCATCCATTCTCTTCCAGGATACTTTTCCTCGGTGTCTACACGTTTTCAAAGCTGCTTTCTGTGCTCTAGCGTCACCTATCTCGCCCGTTTGTGCAACAGTGGCAGCTCCAGGCACATGATCTCATGCGCATCTAATAGGTAGTTTGCACATGACGTCACTGATGACGCGTGAAATGCAGCTGGAGGGCAGGAAGTGATTTTTCTCCATAGAAATCACTAGCAGAAACTCAAAATGCCTGTGTTTTGCGTTGTTTATGGATGCTCCAATCGGCCAAACCGAGAGACCACAAGGAGCTTTTATCGTGTACGAAAATGTGTTGTTCATAAGTGGGGAAAAGTCAAGAAATTGACTGAAAAACGCAGGAAAACGTGTCTTGTGAACCTGCGTCTGCGGTCGAGAGGAGCGGAGCCAGACAATGCTCATGTGTGCAATATCTTTGTACAGATGTATCGATACTCTAAACCACGATCAGCAATGCAGCGATTGGCTGGCGGCAAGACAGCAACGTAATGACATCATATAATTAAAAAAAGACACCTGACAAAAAACTTGACAAATTTCTGGACCTTTATAAGGAAACAGCAAAGCGAACAAAACTACATAAATGTAATAATAGATAAATGAAATGTGCACAGTTTTTATTTATTTATTTATTTATTTATTTTGTTTTTTTTACATGATTCCCAATTATTTATATTCCCAATTTCTAGTATTTGTGCGGGCATTGCATCTTTATTTCAATGTTGTAATTAGCAATTCATGTAATTTTATCTTTGAAGCAGATTTGTTACGTGACAGCATTAATTAAGTTATCTGCATCTCCTGCGCTCCATCAAGCCACTCCCATAATAGCTGTCAGCACTCAAATTAATGCACGACTCTACATTATCTGTATAGCATGTGTGTAAGACTCGAATACAATTATGAAGTAATAATTTTATGACGACTAAATCTCTCAGTGAGTAAAACTGGCTGTGTCTATAGTATTAAAGACTACACAACATTATTAAATTATCTTTAAATTAATTTTTAAATGATTACTATTTTAAATTATTGTCCCTGGATCAGGAGGATACTCTTGTAATAAAGTAGCGGTGGTAGCGGACAGATTTTAAGTATCACTGCTTAAAAATATGCGATCTAATCCTGTTTACATGAAATAAGCCTGCTCCCGAGCAGGACGTGACAGCATTAATTAAGTTATCTGCATCTCCTGCGCTCCATCAAGCCACTCCCATAATAGCTGTCAGCACTCAAATTAATGCACGACTCAGATTAACTGTATAGCATGTGTGTAAGACTCCAATACAATTATGAAGTAGTTATTTTATCACGAATACATTTTTCAGTGAGTAAAACTGGCTGTGTCTATAGTACACACAACATTATAATATTATTTTGAAATTTATTTTTAAATGATTATTATTTTAAATGATTGTCCCTGGATCAGTAAGGGTACTCTTGTAATAAAGTAGCAGTGGCTGGGATAGATTTTAAATATCAATTCCACTTAAAAAGATGCAATCTAATCCTGTTTACATGAAATAAGATGCTCCCGAGCAGGTTTAAGTTTACGGACCTGTTGCTATGACAGCAAGTCCAGGATCAGCTTCGAAGAACCAAACAATCCAAGATCATGCCGAATCATCAACATTGCAAAAAGAAAAAAATTCTTAGTTTCATATAAGGGGATGGTTGTAACACTTTCTAAAGATGTGTTACAAACCCACCCCACCCCTGTCAGTCATTGTTTAGCTAGCTGTATTAGCATAATGGTTTGAAATTAGACGGTGAAAAATGCATCACATTTTGCCTGAGAAACTACAATTTAATCTAATACAATTTAATCTAATATAAGTTAAACAATTTTATCAGCAATAGTTTAAGTATATTAAGTAATATAGATTTGGTCAAAAAAAATACATTCTTACCTCAAAATCATTTTTTTCTCTATAAAACTGGCATATGCCTATTTCCAGCCTTGATAACCATCCATGTGTATCTGGGAGGAAGTGGGTACACACTGAACACATCTTATCCCTGATTGGTGGAACTGGGGGTGTTACAACTCTCCATGTTACAACCATTCTTATGCTGTGTTCCAATGTGCCTACTTATACTACGCCCTTAAAGTATGTTTTGGTGAAGAAAAAGTACACACTTTTGAGCATGTAGTAGAAGAGTAGGCAAGCTTTGGGACAGTTACACGCACCCTGACACTGTGTAAACTGGCCTGTCAATCATCTTGTCACAGTTAACATCCTCCACATTGCATTTCATTTAACTTCCTACCGTATTAGAGAGAGAAGAAGTAGCTTGTTGATCTGTGAGCCGTGGGTCTTTATGTAGAGAACTCTGCTCATATTTTCTGTATAATGATGCATTTAAAAGTTAATGGCCAAATGGATGTTTATAAAAGTTTACATTGCTGTTGCAGATGAAATATAACTCAGATAAGATTCAATAAATATTTTTTACCAGGTTAAATGTTGATTATTAGTAACTCAAACCCCTTTATCTAAACCTCTCTACTTGACCTTATTAACGCTTTGTATTCGTGTTTGTAGTTCTCAACCCAATCATTCGTCAAAGCACAATGGATTGTGGGAAATATTAGCCATCAGAGTGTGCACGGATCCACACTTCAAAAATCGACCTGAAATAGTAGACCAACTCTACTATTCCTGGCATACTCCTTTCAACATACTATGCTTTGGGACACACTTGTT